AAACATGGCAGAGGGCGGGAGAAGAGAGGAGGGGTCAGATTTGTCGTGGATGCAACCTTGCAGCTAGGAGCTCTTGGGGGGCTCAGCCCAGAGAAGAAAGGAAGCTGGCAGTGGCTGGTGCTTCCTTCAGCTCGGAGGAGCAGAAAGGGTGGGCACTCTTGCAGGAATGAACAGTGAGAACTGAGGCTGAGTCAAGAGATCTGAGCAAGGACACAGTACAGGGTTTGGGAAGTTGGTATTTCAGACACACACACACACACACACACACACACACACACACACACACACACACACAAAGCCACAGAGCCCTGTCATCCTGTAGACTCCCAAAACTTGCTTCCTGTTATCCTTGGTGTTGGGTTGCAAAGTACATTATCTGCAAACCCAAGAACCATCACTTCAGAATCACTATTTACCTTGAGCAAAGGCTGCACTCTGTGACTGATCCCCAGTTGGGGCACATGGAGGAAGACTTCACGAAGGTCTGAGGTTACCATTACCAAGAGGGCAAAACAAAGAAGGTGGGTAGATTTCCCAGACAACCCACTTCTAAGCATCCCAGCTATATTGAGAACAGCTGAAGAGGTCAGCTTTGGGATTTCACAAAGCTAAAAATCTTGTGATTTAGCACCATCTACTGGAAAACAATAGAAATACCTCTTTGTAGTAATCTGCTAAAGACGTGCCACTAATACATAGAAGCCTAGACCGAGAATGAGCCCATCAAATACCACGAATAACCAAAGTAGCAAGGCTGCTCAGAAAGAAAATGAAAAATCTCTAAACCACAAACTTAAACACATGAAAATATGTGATGTAAAAGCAGAGACTGAAGATTGCAGTTCTGAAATACTCAACAGGATGTGAGGAAATACAGACAGGCAATTTAATGTACTCAAAAAACAAATTAATAAACAAAATGAGTACTTTATCAAAGAGATTGAAACTTTAGTAAAGAACCAAACATAAAACCTGGAGATAAAAAATTTGGTAAAAGAGATCAGAAATGAACTAGCCAGCATGGGAAATAAAGCAAACAAGATGGGGGAAAATGATATTAAAGATAGGAATCTAGAAATGATGTAAAGAGAAGAAGAGAGAGACCTGAGCATAAAAAAAAATGAATGAATGAATGAATGAATGCATAAATAAATTAATAAATAAGCAAGTTCTATGTGAACTATCTAACTCTATCAAAATAAGTAATATTAGAATAACAGGCATACCAAAAGAAGAGAGGGAGAAAGGAACAGAGAGACTACTCAAAAAAAATAGTGGATGAGACCCTCCCAAACCTATGAAAAAATTAGATGCTTTAATTCGAGAAGCAAACAGAACACCTAGTTACCTCACTCTAAAGACCCTTCCTCCAAGGTACATTGTATTAAAGCTGTAAAAAATTAATGACCAAGAAAGAATTCTCAAGGCAGCCAGGACAAAGAAGAAAGTGACCTATAAAGAGAAGCCCATCAGGCTATCTTTAGACTTCTCAGCAGAAACTCTACAAGCAAGAAGTGAGTGGAATCAAATATTCAAATGACTGAAAGAGAGAAATTACCAGCCAAGAATAATATATCCAGCAAAGTTATTCTTAAATATTAAATAGAAATAAAGACTTTTCCAGACATCAGAAGCTGAGGGAATTCACCACCAGGAGACTTCCACTGCAGGAAATACTCAAGCCAGTTATTCTACCAGAAACAAAGAACAAAAGGTCACAATCATACTAGTAAGATCACACACACACACACACAAAAACGTACAGAATAAACAGGGATAATTTGTGACACAAAAACATAGAAGAGGGCAAAGGTAGAGATCAGATACATTCAAAAGATGAAAAACTACTGTATATATGAAACTTTCATTAACATAAACTTAATGGTAACCATACATAAAAAATACCAAACTGAGACACATAGCTCAAAAAGTAGGAAAGAAGTGTGGAATGCCATCAAACAAAAACAACAGACAGAAACACAAAGGTGAATAACAAGTGGAGGCATAGAGCTACCAGAAAACAAAACATAAAATGGCTATAAGAAATCTTCCTACACATTAATTACCCTAAATATAAATGGACTGAATTCACCAGTAAAGAGAAACAGAATAGCAGATTGAATAAAAAAACAAACAAACAAAAAAAAAAAACTCCATCAAATGCTTCCTTTAGGTAACATATCTAAGCTGCAGAGACAAAGGTAGATTCAAAGTGAAAGGGTAGAAAATGATTCTCCAAAAACATAGCATCCACAGAAACGCAGGTGTAGCTATACTTGTATTTGACAAAATAGATTTCAAGATAACATAGGTAATAACAGAACAACATGGACATTTTATAATGATAAAGGGAACACTACATCAAGAAGACATAACACTTCTCAATACATATGCACTCAACCAGGAAGTACCAAAATACATAAAGCAACTACTAACAGATCTAAAGGGAGAAACAGACCAAAACAAAGTCGTAGTTGGGAACCTTAATACTTTATTGACAACTCTACAAAGATCATCCAGACAAAATCAACAAAGATGTATTGTCCTTACATGGTATGTTAGACCAAATGGACATAATTGACATTTACAGAGCCTTTTATCTCAGAACATCAGATTATAAATTCTTCTCCAGTGGAATATTCTCAAGAATAGACCATATGTTGGGTCACAAAACTAGCAACAAATACAAGAAGATTGAAATTATACCAAAAATATTCTCTGACCACAGAGAATTTTGAAATTAGAAATCAACTGCAAAAAGCAAGTAAAGAAACCCACAAATATGTGGAGATGAAACAACATACTTCTAAACAATGACCGAGTCAAAGAAGAAATAAAAGGTGAGACAAAAAGATATGTAGAGACAAATGAGACTGACTATATGACATCAGAACTTTTGGGATGCAGGGGAAGCAGTAATGAGAAGAGAGTTTATATTATTACAGGCCTATCTCAAGAAACAAGAGAAATCTCAAGAAAACAACCTTACATTATATCTTAAAGAACTAGAAAAAGAACAAAAGGAACCCAAAGTCAGCAGAATAAAGAAAATGATAAAAATTAGAGCAGACTTGAATGAAATAGAGAACAACAACAACAGAAAACTATACAAAAAATTAATACAACAAAGAGATGGTTCCTTGAAAAAATTAACAAAATTGACAAACTCATGGCTAGTCTCACTAAGGGAAAAAGGAAACACTTATATAAACAAAATCAGAAATTAAAGAGGAGAACTTACCACAGACATCACAGATATACAAAGGATCATACTAGAATACTATGAAAGACTATATGCCACCAAATTCAATAACCTTGAAGAAATGGATAAGTTCCTAGAAATATATAATCTTCCTAGACTGAATTATGAACAACTGGAATCTAAATAGACCCTGATTAGTAGTGAGTAAATTAAAACAACAATAAAAAAAATTTCTTAAAACCCAAGAAAACAAAACCTCAGAAAAATAAAAGTCTAGAACCAGATGTCTTCACTAGTGAATTCTAATAAACACTCAAATATTTGAAACCTATCCTTTTCAAACTCTTCCAAAAAAAATTGAAGAGAAGGCAATGTTTCCTAACACATTTTATGAGGCCAACATAACCCCGACACCATAATCTGGCAAGAATAACACACACACACACACACACACACACACACACACACACACGAAAACTATAGACCAATATCTCTGATGAATACAGATGCAAAAATCCTAACAAAATACTGGAAAATTGAATTCAACAATACAATAAAAACATAATGTATCACAATCAAGTGGGGTTTATTCCAGGGGCACAAGGATGGTTCAAAATATATAAATCAATCAATGCAATACACCATATTAATAAAAAAAAGGTTACAAATTATATAATTTTTATCAGTAGATGCAAAAAAAGAAAAAACCCATTTGATAAGATACATCTACTTACGATTAAAACACTCAATAAAATAGGTATAAAAAGAAAGTAGTTCAACATAATAATGGCTATACATGACAATCCCTCAGCTAATATACTCAATGTTAAAAAAAACTGAAAGTATTTGCTCTAAATCAGGAATCAAACAAGGATGCCCTCTCACCACTCTTATTTAATGTATTTCTCAAAGTCCTAGCTAGAGCATTCAGACAAGAGAAAGAAATAAAAGTCATCCACATTGGAAAGAAAGAAATAAAAGTGTCACTTTTTGCAAATAAGATGATTCTGTATATAGAAATCTCCAAAGACTCCATCAACAAACTTTTAGAAATAAACAAATATAGTAAAATTGCAGGATACAAAAATCAATGTACAAAATTCCACTGCTTTCCTATATATCAAGAACAAAACTTCAGAAAAAGACTTGAATAAAAAAAATTTCTTTTGAAATTGCAGCCAAAAATTGAAATACTTAGGAATAAATTTAATAAAGTTTGTGAAAAAACTATATACTGAAAACTACAAAGCATCATTAAAAGAGATTGTAAAAGACACAAGGAAATGTAAAGATATTCTGTGTTCATGGATTGGAAAAATCAACACAGTTAAAATGGCCATATTGCCCAAAGCAATATACTGAGAGTTAATGCAATCCCTGTAAAAATCCCAATGTCATTTTTTAAAGAAATAGAACAAAATATCTTCAGATTTGTATAAAACCACACACACACACACACACACACACACACACACACACACCACAATACCCAAATAGCCAAAGCAGTCTTGGAAAAGAAAACAAAGCTGGAGGTACCACATACATGACTTAAAATTATACTACAGAGCTATGATGATCAAAACAACATGGTATTGAAGTTCTGTGAGCACATCCGGGTCATTGGCCACATCTTGCAGTTTCTGTGGGTGCCAAAGAAGTGGTGGGGGAAGAGATGGTAGGTGCCTGTTGCTGGGCTTTTGGTGGTACTGCTTTGGTCTTTTCCATGGCAGGAAGCACCTTCTCCACAGGACATCGATGCAAGACTAAATAATAAAAACAATTTTTTTCCTCCTAAGCCATGGCATATCAGTTATATAGAAATACCACTTTGGGAAACATTCTTCAGGAAAGTCTCGATGAGCTCATGCAATCTCAAAAGACTACTCCTCAACTTGCCCTTCAAGTTCTACTTAATTTTGATAAGGCTATAATTTCAGCATTGGCTCAGAGGGTCAGGAACAGACTCAATTTCAGGAGCTCTCTAAATACATACAGATTCTATGATAATGTATGGACTTTTGTGTTGAATGATGTTGAATTCAGAGAGGTGGCAGAACTTATTAAAGCGGATAAAGTGAAAATTGTAGCTTGTGATGGTAAAAATACTGGCTCCAATACTACAGAATAAATTTTAAAAAGGCTTTTTTTATGCCATCTTCTGTTATTATTCATCACTTTTTAAAAAAGCATAAAAGAGACTTTATTTATTCTAGCATTGCAGAAATGACCACACTGTGCTATACTATCAGAGTATCCAGTAGAAAGAAGCTTGTAATACTGTAGCCTTTGCAATATCTTTATTCTGCAGCATGAAGAAACAGACTTTTTAAAAAAGACAAATCAAATGTTGCCTTCCTAATAACATTCTTTAATAAACTCATTTTAAAACTCAAAAGCAACAACATGGTATTGGCAGAAAAATGGACTCAGAAATCAGTGGAACAGAATGAGAGTCCAGATATAAAACCACATGTATATGGGCAGATACTTTTTTTTTTTTTTTAACTCATCTTTATTGTTGAATGTAGTACAGATGTTTCTCTCTTTTTTCCCCACTGACCTCTTCCTCCTCCCCATTCCCGTCCCCTCCTGCCTTCCCCACACTATTGTCAGTGTCCATTGGTTATGCATATATGCATAAAATTCTTTGGTTTATCTCATCCCACCATCCCTTCCCCTTTCCCTTTGAGGTTCATCAGTCTAACAACCAATTTGTTCTTCTTAATTCCTTCATCTTTTTCACCCGTACCCCCAGCCCCCACCCATCTGGCAAGCAACAGAAAGTTCTCTGTATCTATGAGTCTGTTTCTGTTCTGCATGCTCATTTTGTTTGTGGATTCAATTGTTGACAGATATGTATTATTTGCCATTTTATTGTTCATAATTTTGTTCTTTTTCACCTTCAAGAAGACCCTTCAACATTTCATATAATACTGGTTTGGTGGTGATAAATTCCTTTAGCTTTTTCTTGTCTGAGAAACTCTTGATACGTCTATCAATTCTAAATGATAGCTTTGCAGGACAGAATAATCTTGGTTGTAGGTTGTTGCTTTTCATCACCTTGAATATCTCTTGCCACTTCTTTCTGGCCTACATAGTTTCTTTTGAGAAATCAGCTGACAGTCTTATGGGAGCTCCTTTGTAGGTAACGAACTGCTTTTCTCTCGCTGCTTTTAAGATTCTCTCTTTGTATTTAACCTTTGGCATTTTGATGATGATGTGTCTTGGTGTGGGCCTCTTTGGGTTCAACTTGTTTGGGACTCTCTGTGTTTCCTGGACTTGTATGTCTGCTTCCTTCACCAAGTTAGGGAAGTTTTCTGTCATTGTTTCAAATAGTTTTTCAATTTCTTGCTCTCTCTCTTCTCCTTCAGGCACCCCTATGATGCAAATGTTGACACGCTTGAAGTGGTCCCAGAGGCTCCTTACACTATCCTCATTTTTGTGTGGATTCTTTTTCCTTTTTGCTGTTCTATTTGGGTGTTTTCTGCTTCCTTATATTCCAAATTGATGGTTTGCTTCTTGGCTTTACCTACTCTATGATTAATCCCTGTAAATTACTCTTTATTTCAGTTAGTGCATCCTTAATTTCTGACTGGCTCTTTTTTATGTTGTTGATGTTCTCACTAACTCAGAGGTCTCCTTAAGTTCCTTGAAGGTCTCACTAAGTCCCTTGGATGTCTCGCCAAGTTCCCTGAGCAACCTTATAACCTGTGTTCTGAACTCTGCATCTGTTAGATTGCTTATCTCCATTTTGTTTAGTTCTTTTCCTGGAGTTTTGTTCTTTTCTTTCATTCAGGGCATGTTTCTTTGTCTCCTTATTTTGGCTGCTTCCCTGTGATTGTTTCTATGTATTAGGCCAAGTTGCTATGCCTCCAAGGCTTCGTAGGGTGGCCTATTGTTGTAGGTGTTCTATAGGTCCTGTAGGATCCAGTGGCACAGTCTCCCTGATCACTCCAGCTGGGCCTTCGCGGTGCACCCCTCATGTGGACTGTACAACCTTCTATTGTAATTGAGTCTTGATTGCTGTTTGCACGTCAATGGGAGGGGTTTACTCAGGCTGGTCAGCTGCAAAGACTGGCTGTGCCCACCCACTACCTTGGAGGATCAGCTGTGTAGGGGCCCACCACACAGAGCAAGACTTGCTTCAGCAGGGCTCTGGTGTCCACTGAGTCCACTCATTGAGTGTGTCACCTGTGGAGATGTTTGGGTGGTGGTATTTTTATGTAGTCTAAAGCTGTCTACCAGGTGTGCTGGCTCTGGGGCAAGGTCAGCCACTGCCTGTGCTCTATCCAGGGTCACCCAGCATAAGCTACAAAGTGAACTGCAGATGGCTGCTTCTTGTGCTGGGCTTGGAGGTGTCCAGGAATAGCCAAATTGTGAACCAAGGCTAGCTGCTTCGAGTGCCAGGCCTGGGGCCACTTAACAAGAAGTATGGGGCTCGCTGAGACTGGCTCCTCTCGAGCCCCAGCTCCACACTGCTCTTGTGGGCCTCTGGGTTGCACAGGGCCCTATGGAGCCCCCAGTCCCACAGCTGGTGGCTGAGGGATGCTGCTGCCCAGTGGGGCCCAGTTCCTGCTTAGCCTTTGCTGTAGTTTTTGTTGTTTTGTTTTTTTTGGCGGGTGGGATAGTTCTCTGCTGCTGGTCTGTGCTTCTGTTGTCTGGGGATGGATGTCTGCTCCACAGCCTCTATCGCTGGGGGTGTATCTCGACTCTGATCGGGCTGCTACTGTGGGGGATGGTGCTGGGCTCCCAGCCATTTGCGGTTTCTGCAACCGGCACCTTGACAGCTCCACTACTGTGCACTGGTCTGTGTTGACACAGAGTGTTCACTGGCCCGATGGTGGGCTCAGGTATCAGATGCTGCTTGTTTGAGAGATTTTAGGAAACTCTGAAGCAGGATCCAAGAAAGGCCAGTCCTATGGTAAAACCTTTGGAAACGGCTTGGATGGGTCAGAAAGCTGGGTGGGGCAGGGCCTCAGGGTATCACCAGGACAAGGCCAACAGTGTGAGCATGGTTGCTGGAGTTCCAGATATGGCAGCTGTCTGTCTGCCCTGTAGGGGAAGGGCTCACCAAAGGAAATTTGGCCTCTATCAGCACGTCTCTCCAGGAGAAAGCTGCCCCTCCAGCCCTCGTCCGGAGGCCAAACAGCTCAGTTCTTCCCTGTTCTCTGGTGCCCCTCAAACTGCCTCCCCTTGGAGCTCAGAGGGAGCAGGTCTGAGTAAGTCTGTGCTCCGGCCCTTTAGGAGGAGCTGCCTGGGGCTTCCGCAGCCTCAGCCTCCTTCTGCTTCAGTTCTCACTGGTTTTACAGCCAGAGGTTATGGGAACTTTTCTTTCTGGCACTGGGACCCTTAACTGGGCACCTGGTGTGAGATGAGGACCCCTCATTCCTCAGGGAGGGCCTTCTCAGCCAAGGTGTCCTCCTGATTTTTATCCGACACACGTGGGTGTGGAACCAGCCCATCTGCCTCTGTCCCTCCCACCAGGTCTCTATGTGGCTGCTTCTTTAATTTCGTAGTTGTAGGACTTCCATTCAGCTGGATTTCAGGTGGTTCTGAATGATGGTTGTGTTGTAGTTTTGTTGTAATTTGATGTGGTTGTGGGAGAAGGCGATACTGCGTTTACCTACGCCGCCATCTTGACCCACCTTCCTCTGGGCAGATACTTTTTCTTTCTTTTTTTATTCTCACCCAAGGACATTTTTGTTCAGATAGAGTGGGAGGGAGAGCGAGGAAGAGAGAGAGAGAGAAAAACATCAATGTGAAGGGAATACATCGAGTGGTTGCCACCCGCACGACCCAACCAGGGCCAGGGACAAACTGCAACTGAGGTACATGCCCTTAGTGGGAACCAAACCTGGGTCTCTCTGGACCCCAGGTCAAAGCTTTAACCACTGAGCCAAACCGACCAGGGCTGGGCAGATACTTTTTGACAAAGAGCCAGACACACACAATGGAGAAAATAAATCCTTGTCAATCAATGGAGCTGGGAAAATTGGAAAGCCACATGCAAAAGAATAAAACTAGATTACAATTTGTCCTTGTGTACAAAAATTAATTTAAACTGGATCAAATACCTAGATATAAGATCTGAAAAGTGAACAGAAGAAAACATAGGTACTAAACTTATGGACCTTGGTCCTAGGAGGATTTTATAAATTTGACCCCAAAGGCAAGGGAAGTAAAGGCAAATATAAATAAATGGGACTGTATAAAACTAGAAATCTTGTGCACAGCAAAAGAAACCACTAACAAAACAAAAAGGCAACCAACCAAATGGGAGATAATATTTGCAAGCAAAAACTCTGACAAAGGGTTATTATCCAAAATATATAAAGAACTCATAAAACTCAACACCAAACAAACAATCCAATTAAAAAATGAGCAGAGGATTTACACAGATACCTCTTCCAAGAAGACATACAAACAGCCAACAGATATATAAGAAGATGTTCGACTTCACTAGCTACTAGAAAAATGCAAATCAAAACTACAATGAGATCCACACCTGTTAAATTAGCTATTATCAACAAGACAGGTAATAAGTGTTGAAGGGTTTGTGGAGAAAAAGAAACCCTCATTCACTGCTGGTGGGAATGTAAACTGGTACAACCACTGTGGAAAACAGTATGATGGTTCCTCAAAAAATTAAGAATAAAGTTACCATGTAACCCAGTAATCCCTCTCTTGGGTATTTACCCGATAAACTCAAAAACATGTATTCACAAAGATATATGCACCTCTATGTTCATTGCAGCATTATGGTAGCCTAGACATGGAGACAACCAAAGTGTCCTTTGATAGAGGATTGGATAAAGAAGATGTGGTACATATATACAATGGAATACTACTCAGCCATTAGAAAAGACAAAATACTGCCAATTGTGACAACATGGATAGACCTTTAGAATATTATGCTAAGCAAAATAAGTCAGTCAGAAAAAGCTAAGAACCATATTATGGGATATAAAACTAAAACTCATGGACACAGACAACCATGTGGTGGTTACCAGAGGGAAGGGAGTGGGGAGTTGGGGGGTGGAGAGGTCCTAATATATGGTGACAGAAGATAGTTTGACTTTGGGTGGTGGGCCCACAGTGCAAAATACAGATCTTCTATCATAGAAATAT